CTAGCCCATGCTTAGCTGGCTTTTGGGAACCTGTTCCCCATGCTGGGTTACCTCACCCAGCTTTGATGCAGAGGGAGGAGATTGGTCTTGCATCAACTTGAAGTGCCCTGCTTTGTTCACACCCATGGGAGGCCTGCCCCTTTCTGAATGGAGATGGAGAAGGAGTGGATGGGGAGAGGAGTAGATGGGAGGGAAAGGGAATATGAGGAGAAGAGAAATGGGGAAACTGTGGTCAGTATATAAAATAAAAGAAAAAAATTAATTTAAAAAATACAAAAAAAAATCAATAGCCCTGACCCTGTTCTGTGGCTTCTTTATCGGAGTGATTGGTACAGTTTTCTCTTTTGGCCAATTTATTCTAGTAAGTTCACATCTATAACGGCCATGACCCATAGGAAAATGTATTAATAAAATAAATAATTTATTTTTATTTATTTTTCTTATCCTAAAAAATTTATTAATAAAAATTTGTCTCATTAGTGTTTTACTTGTTGGTTCTGATTTTAGTTTTTGTGTTTTGTGGGGGCTGGGCTCTTGAAGGAGAAAGAACAAACTGGATGAATAAGGAAAAACATGATCAAAATATATTATATGTTAACAATGTTTAACTAAAAAAAAATATCACTCTCATGAGTCAAACTCATCTCTAGAAATGAGGTGGAATGACACAACAGAAAGCCAGTGTGACCTATGCAGGATGTGGGGCTCAGCCTGACAGCCCAAATAAGTTGGTGGCCTTTCTCGAGAAAAAGATAAACACAGAGGCAGAGAAACAGCCACTATGCTAGCACCAGCACACCACAGATGCTCCCACCCTCCTGGCACCACAGACCAAGCTTGATGCTCAAGACTTTCCCACTCATGCTGCAGACATACAGGAGTGAGAGATGGCAGAAGTCAGTCATATGTAATTCATTCCACAACATCTGGATCATTTTTCCTGGTCCAGATGAAAGAGCTTTAACTGTGAGCCAGCAAAACAGTTCCAAGGGCCCTCAACAGCTCTTGTTAGCTGAATGTAAATGTAAGCAACTTAGTTAGGCAACAACCATCGAAAAATCTTAGAGAAATCAGGATAATAAACTAGGGGTGATAACTACTATAGCTACCGTTTATGATGCACTTACTAAGTACCATTCAATTCAGTGGGGTTAAAGAGGTCACTCTTAGGCAGGCTTTATTATTCTCATTGTACAAATAAGATTATGTGGTCAAGTTTCAAAACAAAATAGAAGGGGTTGGGATCTAGCTCAGATGGCAGTTGCCACTTACTACTTTGATTGTTTGGGGAATCCCAGAAACCACTTTAAGCTTCAATATAAACCAAAAAAATAAAAAAAGATTGCTCCCTGGATGTAAAGAGGATGCCCTGATACAGCATATATTCCACTACCTAATGTTTTCTTGGTACCCAGCCAACAAGACAGGTACTACTGTACCACTGCAGGCTCCTATTAGACTGCCTCTTGTGGAGATAAAACATTCTTACCTGGGAAAGCTTGCTTCTAAGTTTCTAATCAAGTCTTGTACCAGTTGCAAATAATTGTTATAACAAGGGATGCTTTGTGGACAGGCTTGTTTTTAATTATGAGGTTTTTATTTGGGAGGCAGGTTTCAAGGTAAGTCTGCTGTCTGGCTTGTCAGTACTTGTCGAGAGCTTCTATGGTGTGCCTCGTTTGCATATGTGTATTTAGAAGTGCTGTCATTAAGTTTTGCTGTCATTCGGTCTTAGGTGTGTGATCCAATTTGTTCAGACACACAGCTTGCTCTATCCTTCCACTTACCAAAGCTTCAGCTTTGTGCAGATGAAAAGTGAACATACTGCAAAAGAAAAATATTCTGGGGGTAGTGTAGTGGTTAGAAAACCTGGGGGGGGGCATGTCAGGGAAGGTGACACAAAGCATAGAAGACATTTCCCCACCGTCACTGTTAAAATATCTTTGTAGGGGGAATACCTGTAGCACATGGTACTGATCAGCACTACAAATTTCTTGCAGAGGAAAAGCGAGAGAGCATAAGGACACAGGTTCTTTAAAGAACAAAGCCGCTCCCATGAGAAAATGAAAACATAAAATGACAGGGACAGCGATGAAGCAACTTCAAGATGATTCAACAGCCAACCCCTCGCTAGCACCACCTACATTCGCACCTCGTGGAGCCTGAGCAGGGCATCTGCATAAACAAACTACAGATGGCATTTTATCACTGCAGGAATCTACTTTATGTCAGTTCCCTTTAAGGGTCTGACTGTCCTTTAATTACAAGTACAGGAAAGAATAGAGCACATAACAAGAAAGAGGAAAGGAGAAAAGAGAGGAGAGGAGATAATGGGAGAACAAGAGAAGCAGCAAAGATGCTCAGTGTCAGCGTAGTTACTAGGACTGTATGTGCCTGGGGTCTGGGGTCTGGGGCCAGGTCCGTTCACTTCCCACTTCCACAGGAACACTTCTGACAGGGTGGGCTAGTATTAGATTGTCAAATTAAAAAGAAGAGTCCCTTCCCCAGGAATAAAAAATAAACCCACCACTACTGTCATTAAACATGTGAGTTGTTGAAAGGGTTCTGGGAATGTTTGCACTGGGGCCACTGTGTCATGGTTGATCTTTCACAAGGCTATAGTCAAGGAGTCCCATCTGAGGGCCGTTTTAGGGATGATCACCAGCAGCAGGATTTGTTTCCCTAAGGGATGTCAAGCTCAAGGCCTGTGTGCTGCTGTCTGCTGTCCAGATACTGCCCTCCTATCCATGTCAAGTGAACCTCTCCCATGGCCACTTGCCTCATCAAAGTCAGAAAGAGCCTTTATAAGATGGAAATTACAGCCGGGCGTTGGTGGTGCACGCCTTTAATCCCAGCACTCGGGAGGCAGAGGCAGGCGGATCTCTGTGAGTTCGAGACCAGCCTGGTCTACAAGAGCTAGTTCCAGGACAGCCTCCAACCAAAGCCACAGAGAAACCCTGTCTCGAAAAACCAAAAAAAAAAAAAAA